CAGTACATCTGGATCACTTTCATGGAGCATTTTGCCTTGAGGACTAGTGTTTTCCATACTTAACCAATAACATATCAAGGCACACAATCCCCAATTTATTATTGGCAGTGAAAGGAATTACTTTAATTAGTTTCAAGCATTCCCAATTCACGTCTTAAAAAGCTAAAACGTGCATAATCTAGCGGTTTAGTGAATATATCCACTAGTTGGTGTTTAGTGTCCATAAAATCAACACAAATGTCTCCTTTTTGCACATGATCACGAATAAAGTGATGACGGATCTCAATATGTTTGGTCCTTGAGTGCAAAACAGGATTTTTGGAAATATTAATAGCACTCATATTATCACAAAACACAGGCACATTAGTAAAATTCAAATTGTAGTCTTTTAATGTTTGAATCATCCATAAAATTTGAGCAACACAACTGCCTAAGGCAACGTATTCTGCTTCAGCAGTAGATATGGCAACTGAGTTTTGCTTCTTAGATGACCAAGACACTAAAGAATGACCAAGAAATTGACAAGTACCACTGGTACTTTTCCTATCAACTGTACACCCAGCATAATCAGCATCACTATACCCAACTAAGGAGAAATTGGATCCCTTCGGATACCAAAGTCCTAGGTTGGTTGTGCTTTTAACATATCTAATGATACGTTTAACGGCCACAAGATGAGATTCCTTTGGGCAAGATTGATAGCGAGCACAAACACAAACAGCATGCATAATATCAGGTCTAGAAGCAGTTAAATATAATAAACTGCCAATCATACCTCTATAGACCTTTTCATCAGTGGGTTTGCCATTTTCATCCTTGTCAATTTTGGCAGTTGAGCTCATTGGAGTATCAAAATGTCTATCTTTTTGTAGATTGAACTTTTTAACCAACTCCTTAGCATATTTGGACTGACTTACAAAGGTTCCTTCTTTCATTTGTTTGATTTGAAGTCCAAGGAAGAATGTGAGTTCACCCATCATGCTCATCTCAAATTCACTGGTCATGACTTTAGAAAATTCTTCACACATTGATTGATTAGTAGAGCCAAATATAATATCATCAACATAAATTTGAACTAACACAATATCATTAGCCAAAGTGCGTACAAACAATGTTGAGTCAATAGCCCCTTTTGAAAAACCATTTTCAAGAAGATATTTTGAAAGCCTTTCATACCAAGCACGTGGGGCCTGTTTTAAACCATAGAGAGCCTTCTTAAGCTTGTATACATGGTTTGGAAAGGTGACATTTTCAAAACCAGGAGGCTGCTCCACGTAAGCTTCCTCCTTAAGGATTCCATTCAAAAATGCACTTTTAACGTCCATTTGAAAAAGTTTAAAATCCATGTAACTAGCATAAGCAAGAAGCATCCTAGTGGATTCTAACCTAGCAACAGGAGCAAAGATTTCCTCATAATCAAGTCCCTCTACTTGATTATACCCTTTAGCAACAAGTCGGCTTTTGTTGGTGATAATCTCACCTCCTTCATCCAACTTATTTCTAAAGACCCACTTTGTACCAATAACTGGATGGTTATTTGGTCTTTCAACCAATTCCGAAACGTCATTGCTTTCAAACTGGTCTAACTCCTTTTGCATGGAAATTATCCACTCATCATCGCTTAAGGCTTCCTCTATATTTTTGGGCTCAAATTGACTAACAAATGCATAGTATGCACAAAGGTTGATGTTACCTTTGGTCCTTACGCCTTTAGAAATGTCTCCAATAATGTTCTCAGCTGGATGGTCCTTCAAACCTTTGTAGGCAGCTAGCAGTTGGCTGGTTTGCTCAGCAGGCGGCTGAAATTGAGCAGCAGGCGGCTCTTCTTGAGCAACATGTTCGGTGTCAAACAAAGGGCCTTGTTCTTCAGCTTCATCATCTGAAAAGATAAGTTCCTTTCTCGGCCCAAATGGATTAGTCTCATCAAATTCAACATGTATAGACTCTTCTACACATCTAGTTGATTTATTAAAGACTCTATAAACTTTACTAACCGAAGAATAACCAAGGAAAATACCTTCAGTGGATTTGGCATCAAACTTACCCAACTGATCCTTAGTGTTCAGGATATAACATTTGCATCCAAATACTTTGAAGTATGAAATGTTTGGTGCTCTTCCATGCCACAACTCATAGGGGATCTTCTTTAGAATGGGGCGTAGTAGTACTCTATTAAGCATATAGCAAGCTGTATGGATGGCTTCTCCCCAGAAATATTTAGGCAGATTGTGTTCATTCAGCATGGTGCGTGTCATTTCTTGAAGGGTTCTATTCTTTCTTTCAGCTACACCATTTTGTTGAGGAGTCCTAGGGGCTGACAAGTTGTGATCTATACCATGATCATCAGCGTAGGCTTCAAATTCAGCATTTCTGAATTCCCCTCCCCTATCACTCCTTATGCTTGTGATTGTATACCCTTTTTCATTCTGTATTCTCTTGCATAACTTAGCAAAAGCATTAAATGCATCATATTTATGTGCAAGCAATAGAGTCCAAGTAAACCTAGAGTAATCATCTACAATCACATAGACATACTGGGCATCACCTAGACTAACTACACCAATTGGTCCAAATAGATCCATGTGTAGTAGTTGTAAGGGGTGTGAAGTTGAAACAACCTTCTTAGGTTTAAAAGAAGTTTTGTGTTGTTTCCCCAGTTTACATGCATCACAGAATTGCAACTTGGCAGATTTCAGATTAGGCAAACCAACAACAATATTCTTAGAAGACAATCTAGAGAGCAAATCAAAGCTAGCATGTCCAAGTCTTCTATGCCACAAAAAGGAATCATCATGAGAAGAATGAAGACATGTAATGGTAGAGTGATGAAAATCAGAACTAGAAAATCTATATAAATTACCATCACGTTGAGCAGAAAAGAGCACATTATTACTATCTGTATCATAAAAGGTGCAAGCATTGGCAGTAAACACAACCTTATGGCCATCATCACAGAGTTGACTAACGCTCAAAAGATTATATTTAAGACCATCAACATAGAGCACATCTTTAATGGAAGTAGAGTTAGAGATACTTACCTTCCCTTTGCCTATTACCTTCTTCTTTGATTTGTCACCCAGTGTGACATTACCACCAGCTTTGGAGGTTAACGTTTTGAACCATGCTTTGTTCCCGATCATGTGTCTTGAGCAGCCACTGTCAACTATCCAAGTGGTGTTTTGGGTGCTCAAGAATGCCTACAAAAACATTCAATATTTTGAATACGGTACCCTTTTAAAGTTGGGTCCTCTAGGGTTAGTTTTGGAACCCTTGACTACCCATCTTGGTCTCTTCCAAGGTGGAATCAAGTTACCCATCTGAACCAGTTGCTTCACTTTGCAATCAGTCACTAAATGACCAGACTTCATGCAATAGTGGCATGATTTTAGAAGTGTCTTTGAATGGTGTATGCTGGAAGAGGGTTTAACAAAACCTTTTACTTTATTAGAAAAATATTTTGTTGTTATTTCAACAACCTTAGGGTCCTCTTCAAAACCAAGTCCCCTCTTATTAGTGTTTGGGTATTGACAATCCCAAACTAACTCTTGAGTAGGCCTAATATGATACAACTTGTTTAAAGAGTAACTTTGTTGGTCACTGATCTTTTTAAGAGTAGCATATTCTTTTGATAAAAATTCATTTTTGCGTGACAACTCAAGTTATTCTTTTTCAAGAATATCAAATTTAGATTGTAAATCTTTGAGCTTCTTTTTCAAATTTTTCTTCTCTTCCAAAGTCTGAAACAAATCAGACTTACACTGCTCAAAAGCTTCCCTAATCTCATCAGATGAAAAGTTATGAGAAGAAGAACAAGAGCTTACTTCATCATCACTGTGAGCCATAAAGCAGACGTGTGCATGCTCATCATCTGATTGCTTGCTGGAGGAGGAGTATTCATCAGAATTGAGATCATCCCAGTTGGCTTGCAATGCTTTGTCTTTCTTTTTCCAGCCACCTTGATGTTTCTTATCAGCAGTTGGCTGCTGTTTTAGCTTTGGGCAGTAGGCCTTTGTATGACCTGGTTCACCACACTCATAGCATTTAAGAGTGTTAGAATTATATTTCTTACCTTTGGTAGTAGACTTGTCATGTATTTTGTCCTTGTTCCATTTGACAAACTTTTTGTAGCGCTTGAACAAGGCTTCCTCAACTTCTTCACTCTCAGTTTCACTCTCTTGGGAACTTTCAGCCGTCTGCTGAACTTTGTTCTTTAATTTCAGCTTGGATGAGTGACATTGTTGCTTTTTACTTTGACTTTGTTGCTCATACTTCTCTTTATTGAGATTTAGCGCCATAGTCTTGTGAGCCAGCTTATCTTGGGCATCCTCACTGCGTTGTCTTGCTAAGTATAATTCGTGAGACATGAAAGTACTCCATATACTAGCAGTAGACATGTTAGTACACTGAGGTGTAAGATTGACAATAACATTCTCCCATAGTTTAGGTAAAGAATATAGAATCTTAAGGTTTACCTCCTGGGTAGAATATTTCTTACCCAACTTACTCAATGATGAGAGGATATCATTGAACCTCTTGCTCATATCCTGGATGGATTCATTTGGCTTCATCTTGAAGCTTTCATACTCGGATGTACCAAGAACAATTTTGGTCTGTTTGATTTGAGTATCTCCTTCATGAGTTGTTTCAAGCATGTCCCAGACTTCTTTTGCAGATTTGCATTGACTAACTATAGAGAACTCGTCTGGACCAAGAGCACAATGAAGAGCATTTAAATTTGGTATGAGTAAACTAGACGTAATGAATAAGATTCTAAAAAAATTTCATCAAAAAATTCCATCAGTAACTATCCCAAATGGTGACAGCGGACAGAGCCTCATATATAAGGGTTTATTTGACCTTTTTTAGTTAGTACGTGAGTTTATTTGTCCCTTTTTTCTTTTAACTTTATTAATATTCATGCTGATCAAATTTGAACAAATTTTAGAAGACAAAGAGAATAGCCCATTAAATTTTATAAGGGCTTATTCCCATCGATTTGGATTGTGAATTCTTTGTTCCGAAGCCCACCCCTTGTTTAAAGTCCAAAGTCCCCACCCTTATTTAAAGCTCTTGATCGATCGTTCTCTAAAACGCGCATTGCATCTTTGGCCAAAATAAACCACTGCAGTTGGACAAGGAAATATTTTCTTCAGGCACGGCCGCACTTTGCTGCAGGACGGCACTTTCGATTGCTTAGGAGAAGGTTTGTTCTTTTCGTCTTTTCATTTTTTTTGCAACTTGATGATAACATTAGGTCAACTGATGGTAAAAGTAGGTTATTAATTAAACAGATTAACGCGTTGCACAGTTCAGATTTCTAAAGATTGTGGTTTGCTCCCCCTTTCATTCGCTAGTTGATGGTTATATGGGGTGTTTTCAGTTTTCAAAATGGGATTCTATGTTTATTTGTTGATTAGGTCCTTCTTTGATGTTTACATTATACATTTATTAATTAAATGTTCTTAAATGTATTTTAGTAATCATATGTAATTGTGAAGTGATGCATTTTTGTGATTTGCTAGTTTGTGTTTTCTCAGTAATTGAAAGCAGACTTTGGTAACCGAATGAGAACAGTTTACAACGATTTCTTTGTATTGTGACTAAATTATTGAGCATCCTTTTAAGTGTATTATATTTTTTGTTTATACATGTTCTTTTGTAGAACAGTTTTGCGCCTGAACTATTTTTATTTTTAATTATTTCATGTCCGCCACCACCACCAACTGAACCTGAATTCAATTTTAATGGGTTCTGCTACATGAACTTATATAAAATCTCCTCAGGTCATCCACCAAATTCCATTTTTTTCATTTTTATATAGTAAACCATATGCTCAACAAGCTTCTACATTTTGGCCCTTTTTACATATTCAATCCATGTCACTTTCGTCCTATTTCGTTAAATCAGTCTCGTTGAATAGTTTCTAAATCTCATCTTGTCATAATTTTTAGTAATAGGTATTTAAAAATATTAACGATCAAAGTTGTGTATTGATGCGAAAGTCAAGTGGTTACAAATAAAAAATATGGGAAGTATAGATAAGTACATACAAATACATATATACATACACAAAAGCGCATACACATATGCCGATATATATATAATGTTTATTAAATTGACATTAGAGACTTTTATTCATAAAGATAAAATAATATTTGTATCATGGTTATGATTTTTTAAAAAACACAAGTCCCAAGATGCATTTAGAGAAGTTTTGGAGTGGTAGGAGTGTTCCACCCTTCCATATGCCTAGATAGTAGATACAAGTAAATCTTTATGTAATTATGTATGTGTATGTATGTATTTATCTATGTCTATATGCACATGTATGTGTGTGTGTGCATCAATTAGTGGATGCTCACCAATTTGAGTGCTGAAAAGGTGAAAACTTGCCGCTCCCACCATTCAAGGTCAATTTTTTACTAGATTTTAATGCTTTAGGGGCAGCGTCTGAGTGTGTGTGGGGAGAAAATTTGTCAAATGTCTCAAACTGTTTTTTACATAAAACCTTACTCAATTTCAAAATTTATATAATGTTTATTTTAGAAGAGAATAGTATTAATAAATTTATAATTAATAATTACTAAACAAAAATAAGTTAAGTAACAACAACAACATCGAAGCCATATTCTCAAAATAGTTTGGGGTCAGCTAACTAAACTAAAATAATGATACGGAGTATAATAAAATTCATTTCATGTATAATATAATTAATTTTACTCTAAAGGTTTTATAATTAATTTTATTATATATTTTTAAGTTATTTTTACAATGGTCATTTGTCTGCTAAAGTCTTAAGCTCAACTCATCACCACAGTTTCATTTCCAACAACATCATTTTTACCACAACTGTTGAAAAGCTACTATTTTAAACTCACCACCACTGCCTAACTATGTACCATTTTAATTGCATCTCTCTCACCACTCGTCCCAATGAAGCCTTGGTAAACAGATGTACCTTTTCTTTAGCAAAAGAAGCTCCCCTTTTTTAAAATTTTGTTGAAGGTATAGTGTGATGAGATAATTGAGAATGGATGTATGTTGGCGTCTGATTTGTTGAAAACGATAGTTGGTTTTGGTTCATGACGTTGTTTTAGTAATTCGTTGGTGTCTATTACATTGATTTGCGAGAAGCTGTTGAGATTTGGTTTTGGGAATTGGGGAGTTGATGTGTAGTGAGGACTCATTCATGTGGTGTTGGGTGTGTGGTTCTGGTGGACAGGGAGGAGGCAGGAGTCAGTGTGGTGTGTGGTGATACGTTGCAGTTGTTTGTGGTGTTAATAAACTGCTAAAGTTTTGAAAATGAGACGCGAAAGTCGAAGCCAAAGCAGGAGCATGAGCCGGAGCAGGAGCCGAAGTAGAAGCCCAGTGGATCACAAGGACCGTAGCCAGCGGCATTCCTACCGTGATGCACCATATAGAAGGGATGCACGTCGGAGTTTCAGGTTATCCGGTCCTTTCACTATTCTATTGAGCAAGTGGTGGTTGGAAGGGGGCTCTTTATTATGTCTTAGTGTGGAGAATTTGTATAAGGTTGGATAAACTTAAAGACATATTTGATCAATAAATGGAGTTAAAGCGTTTGGGGTCCAAAATATATGTACACAAAGATTAACAGTATTAAATATGAAATTGATGATTCAATATGCTTGAATATGACTTATGTTAAATGTGTACTATGGAGGTTAGATCAAACGGTAAATACATCCTTGACCCAAATTAACCAATAATAAGTAGATTTAAAGCGTTCATGGACCAAAACAAAATTATGCAAAGATTAGGGGTATGAAATGTGAAGTTTACGATTCAGTCCTCTATTTTATGTCTTATGTTGATTATGGTGAGTATTTATTGGGTCAGACTAGATATTAAATCATATTTAATTCGATCTGTTAGTGGTATGTTTTTTCTAGTAATAGGGGTTCATAAATGGTAAAACAACAACCATTCCCTTAGATTTCCTCAAAACCGTGTCAAAACCCATACATATCTTACTTGTTCCCTATGGGACGTAGGTATGATTAACTACAATCTCCGAAACTGTTTGGCTATAAAAGTGCTTCATTCCTTATAATCCAATTGTATTAAAGGATCATTGAAATCTTATTCTTGAAGTCATATTAATAAGCTGATAGTATGACCGACTTTCTTGCTTTCGATACGTATCTTACTTCTACGCTATGGGATGAAGGGAGGTATGGTTAAATTCAATTTCAACTGTTTGGCCATAAACATGCTTGATTCTATATAATCCAATTGTATTAAAGAATCATTGAAATTTATTCATGAAGTCATGTTATAACCTGCAGTAAGATTGACTTTATTGCTCTCAATACTATTCAACATTTAGTTGTTGTGCTTTTATGCCAACTGTATGGTTCTACTGTTTGAAGGATATTGTAGCTAAATAATGACAGCCTCTCCATTTTGTTCCTACTAATCTGCTATGCTGATGGGAAGACTTGGATCTTTCATCATCTGTAGTTGTTGTAATTCTCTTTTGGATTTATTTTTGCATTGTTTCCGACATTTGCTTTTCATACACTACTGGCTAATGCATTGTGTAGTCGAAGGATTTAAATGAATTTTAACATTATATTTTTCTACATTTCTATGTCATCCTTGTTTTTAAACCACATACTGCTTTATATTTTTTGCAGCCAGAGCGGTCTGTGCAAGAATTGTAGAAGGCCCGGTCATTATGCAAGAGAGTGTCCTAATGCAGGAGTATGCCACAATTGTTCCCTTCCTGGGTATGTACCATGGTTAAGATTTGTACAGTCTCCTATTTATATGCCTCCATTCATCAAAGCATGCATAGTTTAAGAAAATGCATTGGAGTAGCAAATTAATCTGTACTCTTTATATTTTACCTCAAATGCCTCCATATAATACATAATAGTTAAGTATAATAAAGTAGTACCTCACAAAATAAATTATATATTACCTAGAACTCAAACAAAAAATTTATTAAATGAAAACAAGAGTTTAGTAATTCAAAAAAAGAGTATAAATATCCATCTAAAATAAGCATTAAGAACACTTGATTACAAACTTTCAAAAATCATAAAGAACTAAGTCAATCATAGGGCCTTCATTCCCATCACCATCACCATCATGAGTAGGAGTAGGTGCTTTTAGCCATAAATGTCTTCAACATTATCATCATCATTTGAAAAATTTTCTACTTTGTCTTCATCACTCAACAATAATGATTAATTTTAACCACGCCGTGTGTAATGAGTTGGTTTCTCGTGGGACCTACTACTTTTGTTACCACACAAACTCTTCTAGGAAGGTTGCTTGATGCACCAGCTTCATCAACTTGACTCTATAGAGATCTTCACCGGGACGAACAACTTTGTTGTTAGCTCATTCAAGGACCCACTGAAAGTCTAATGATCAAAGAGTTCAAGTTCATTCTTTCATAACATTGCTTCTGAAACCTTGCTATCTGTCAAGTCAATCAACTTCTTTTACTCCAACCTATTTGTTTTATCTGTCGAAATCTGGGAATTAAAAAAAATCGATTCATCGGTATTTTCATTTAATAAGTTAAAAGTTTGTGTATTTGTATGTTTTGTGGTTACTTTCAAACACAAAGGACTGGCTAGGCGCTTTGCAAAACAGACTGGCTATGCACTTTGCCACGAAACTGGCTATGCGCTTTGGATGAATTATAAAAACATCCTACAAATCAACTATAAATGAAAATGCAAAATAAAGAATATCCGTTTTAAATAAATTCAAAAACAATTCTGCATTCGTACTTCTGAAGAGTACTTAAGAGGAGTATTTTTTGTTGTTTCATTGTCACTTCCTGTCCAAAGCTTCCACATAATTTGGGTTTGGCCACTTATTTGAGTTTGCAAAGATTTATCAATAACCATCTTTTTGAACACATCATTTAACATCCTTTATTGCCTAGACACATATACATGGTTTCTTTTTGTTTGAGGATAAAATATTTTGATTTTTTTAAAAAAGAAGCAACTCCACATATTTTGACCTCCACTTGGTTTAGTGATGCTACCAAGTTAAAATCTGTTAAAAAATGGCACAGATGGCATGGCAATGGTGCCAATATGGTGATGTAACCATTTGAACTACAATGTCTTTTCCGATTTCTTCACTTTTTTGCTTTAGTAGCTTTCTTGCTGCCTTATTATCAGCAATGTTGCATACTTGCATATTGTGATTCACTTCATGTGTCAATTGTCAAATTAGTCCAATCACTTGCAAAGCCTAATTGTCTTTGTTCTTTCTCTGGCTACGATACTGATTAAGCACATTGTTGATTTTTGAAGTGTCAACCAAACTCACAAATGCATAAGATTTTGACTTATTAATTGAAAGTACCAATGAATTATTGTTTTTAACTTTCTAGATTCATATAATGTGAAACAGGTAGGAACATAGTTGAATGACTTGGTTATTATTCAATATAATCAAAAGATAGCACCTATGTTTTAGAAGCAACGTAAGAAGGAACAAGCTTTAGTCCTTTGACCAATCAAAACTTTCAATGTGACAATAAATGGGTTAACAACAACACTATTCATCTATACGAAGTCAAGTTGTTGATGTTGTGGGTGAATCAAGGAATCTTGAGACAGCGAGTTGATGATCTCATCCACGCCGTAAATGCCTAGGCAGTTGAGCATGGGTTGCCTCCCCCAGCACCTGGTTGCCTAGTTTGAAACTCGGAATGTAGGTGACTCAGTAACAACCATGATTAGCTAACCTTTACTTCACATTTAACACTTTAACCTTTACTCCATTCCTCCCCAAATTAGCTAACCACTCTACTTTTCTATTGACTCAAAAATTATCATCCCATTTTTTAAGAAGAGAACTGTGTAATTGATATTCATTCTATGGGTTTTAAATAAATCCTATGTTTAAAGAACCAGACCGGACCGGTTGGGTCAGTCCAGCACCCAGTGAACCGGGCCATAATCTGGTCTGGTTGTCTATTAACCCTTTGATTGAGTCAAAACCGGAAATACTCAGTAACCCGACACAAACCCGGAACCTGACCCAGAATGCCCGAACTCAGAAAACCCGGTACAACCCGCGACGAAGGAGAAAAACATCATGTCTGGGTTTCGAATCGTGTATCCATCGTCGTACAAGAAAGCAGGCCGACATCCAAGTCTTCCACTGCGACTTGTTGGAATGGAAGCTGCTAAAACAGTACTATTCTCTGCTAACTATTATCGGATCTTAACCCTCCCTTTTTTGATGGTATCTTAACCCTCCCTTATTAATTGATAATAGTAATAATAATAATATGAAAACTAATACAATAATACATGCTACTGTAATTATTATATTTCCCAAATATGTGTAAAATATTTCAAACATAAATGGAAAATATATTTGTTCAATATTTTAAAGATTTCACGATTAGTGTTTTTTTATGGATTCGTAATTAGTGTTATGATCGTAGTTTTTATTCCTCTAGTTTCAAATGCATTCATGATTTAGTTAAAAATTGTGTATTTGAGAAAAATACTCCGTGGTTTTGTACTTGTAATTTATTTTCATAATTAAATTACGATGTAGAATTATTTGTAACCATATATATACACACACACACACACACACATATATATATATTATATATATAGGGAGCGATTTCAATGAAAACCATGCTTAACGTGAGAACGTGAGAACCATACACTTTTAACACAATTTGGTGCACTATGAGGCTCATCTTAACACTTTTTACACTTTGGTCAAAATGTGCCAACATCAAATAAATGTGGTGGCAGATTCGTATATATTTCATCAACATGAAAGTGTTTAAGCAAGGTTTTGAAAGGTGAAATCGGGCCCCGAGGCGTTTAGTGGTAGCCTCACGAGGCGTAACCGCGTAAGCCTCGAAATTGTAGTGCAGCTAAACAAAATCACAAGTAAAAAAGAAATAAGTATATAACAAAATTGTAATGAAGTTAAATATAATATTTCTAATTAAATTGTAAACCTTGAGTCAAGCAAACTAGTAAAATACAGAGTATTAATCAAATAAATTATTAAGCTAAATGATACGGAGTAGTTTTCTATGATAACTTTAAAGTTTAAACCGTAGGCTAATAAATACAGTAATAACTAATAACTAATAACTAATAATGTTAAATTAAAAACAGACAAACATCAGATTTACCGTAGACTAATACTCTGGCAGAATAAATAGTACTATAGTAGTACTCCCATCGACTAATACAGAGTACTCTGGAAGAATAAATAGTAGTACTCCCTCAAGTCTAAAAGCGTTAAATAAAATTTCAATTCAGTTAATTAGTTTAAAAAAGCGGAAGATGACATTAAATAGTTCAAAAAACGAATTTTTAAGTAACTAAAACGTTAAATAAAAATACTTAAGACGTAAGTAAGGCTTAAGACTTACAGGCTTGTTAAAGAAAGGCGTAAGCCTTGTTAACGGGAGGTAAGGCTTAACTGCTTAAGACTTGCATGCGATTAATGAACTGCGAAACGCCTTTTAAAACCATGTGTTTAAAGTATAAACAATGTTGTGCATCACATTTCCTTAAAAGTGGAGTTCTTAGTATATATTGTGTTGACCGGGTTTATCGGTTTTTTATCAGGTTTATCTCCAGGTCCGGGGTGGCCCTTGACCTGGTCTCTCGTCCGGGTCGCCTTTTGATCCGGTTCTAAAAACATAGAATAAATCTAGCATGAAAAAAGTTAATTTGGGGATAGGGGGACAATAAGAAAGATAAAACATGACAACAAATATATGTGTAAATAGACTTCATAAAAGGTCAAATGATAAGGAAGTATTGAAGCGAGTGAATGAAGAAGACAGATAAACAGCATAGGATTTATCTGCTAATTACTTAGTTGTCAACTCTAATGGTACCATAAGTTCGAAGTAAATTGTAATGTTAAATTTACATTTAAGGTGAATCTGAACCTGCAGGCATATTGCATCAGAGTGCAACACAAAGTCTCTATGTTGGAACTGTCGGGAACCGGGGCACATGGCTGGGAACTGCCCAAATGAAGGAGTTTGCCACACTTGCGGGAAAACGGGACACCGTGCAAAAGACTGCACTACCCAATCCCTGCCTCCAGGTGATCTGAGACTCTGCCACAATTGTTTCAAGCAAGGCCACTTTGCAGCCGACTGCACAAACGAGAAGGCTTGCAAGAACTGTCGGGAGACTGGACACCTGGCAGTTGACTGCCCGAATGACCCCGTCTGCAATTCATGTAACGTGTCCGGGCACGTCGCCAGAGATTGCACGAAACCTGGTATTACCGAGGAGCGGGGCCTGCGGCCTCGTGCTATTTCTGCTGCTGCCGGGTATAGGGATGCTGGGTTTCGTGATATGGTGTGTAGGAACTGCTCACAGTATGGACATATGAGCCAGGATTGCATGAGGATGGTGCTCTGTCAGAACTGTGGCGGGAGGGGGCATATGGCCTATGAGTGTCCATCTGCAAGGTTCATAGACCGCTTCCCCCGCAGGTACTGAATGAGTTGAACGCGTTATCCTTGCTTTATTTACAGCATTGTTTTTCAGCAGGAGTTGTACTCTTCTTTCATTGAGATTTATTTACTCATTTTATTTCAAGAAAAACCCATGTTTTTTTTGTTTCTTTGCACTTTGGTGTGCCCTCAAATATTATTTTGGCTAAGATTATTCTGGAGGCTTTTTATTAGACATTTATGCACATTTTGGATACTTTTTCACAATTTTGATCTATTTGTGTGTTGAAAGGGTTCCTTTGATAAGAGAGGAATGTTTTTTACCTTATACGAACTACGGAGTAAAGCTCAAAGCTCAATGGTATTGCCGGCTTGCCACCGGTTGTTATACTCCCCCCGTCTCTTAAAACTTTGTCAAATTTGACCGGCATAGAGATTAATAAAGCAAAAACTGTGTTGTAGATGTTTGTGCAGAGAAGAGAAAATTAATTGGAATCATAAATTTCTTTACATAAAAGAAAGTGGTAAGGTTGGTGGGACATTCAATAAAGAAAAGTTGTCAAAGTTTAGAAGAGGGAGGGAATGAATTGTTAAATGCTTTATTGTACAAATGTTAACACTCCTTTTTAGGCGGAAGAATATGGCGTGTACAAATGTTAAGTGTTAACATTAAAAAGGAAAGGTACAAATATAACTTTGTACTCCGTTTAGGGATGGATTCGGTTCGGGCCACCCGGCCCGTGACCCGGCCCGGCCCGGTACTGTGCGGGCCCGGGACCGGCCCGGTTGGGCGGTCCGGGACCGGCCCGGTTGGGCGGTCCGGGACCGGGTATGGGCCCGAACCGATGGGAAGGGGCGGGGTGGGCTCAGTGCTGGAAAAATGTGACCCGGCCGGGTCGGGCCCGGGTCCGGGTCCGGTCCTATTTTATTTTTTTTTTAAAATCTTGGGCTACTAGCCGTTGGGGGGTGGGGGGGGTGGGGACAACCCAAACGGCTATATAGCCGTTGGGTGGGGTAAAGGGGGGGTCCGGGGGGGTTGGCTGGTAGGGTGGGGGGTGGGGGGTAAAAAAACCTATAAATACTCCTAATCTTAAACATTTATTCATATCTCTTCTCCAATTCTTCCTAAATCCTATTCTTAACTCTCTACTCTCTAATTCTCTTATTCTCCAATATATTATATATCTACTCTCTAATTCTCTTCTCCAAGAAGTTAAGATGGAAAATCAAAATGCCATTATACGGTATAATTTTGATAAGCAGAAGGACCCGAAGACCGGGATGTGGTACGCAATTTGCAAATGGTGCGAAAAAAAATGTATCATGGGGGTTTCAGGCGGATTCGGGATGGCAATCAAGCATATGAAGTCATGTGACAAAGCCAAAGGATCGGGAGCAGGAAGTTCCGATTGATTACAATTTTCAAAATGTTTATCTCTTAAAGTTTGTTTTAATTTTCAAATGTAGTTCCTATTTCATTTCAAATAAATGCAATTGAAGTTTGTTTTTAATACTCGTATAAAACTATAAACTATAAAATATAAATTATATATATAAAAAAATTAACCGGCCCGAACCGGACCCGACCCGTGACCCGGGCGGGTGGCCCGGCCTGAACCGGACCCGTCCAACCCTCGGGCCGGTCCCGGGCCCACTTTTCTTGAACCGGCGGCCCGGGTCCGACCCGGCCCGAATCCATCCCTAACTCCGTTAATATGGATGTGAGAAAAAATATACGTTTCTTCTATTTTTTGGGATAAATATACCACTCAAGTATATGTGAAGTGCGCATATACTCTTGAACTTTTAAAAGATGCAAAATTATCCCTTACATTTTTATAAAAAAGCAAATATACTCTTATTGATTGTAAATTGATCAAACAAATTTCCAAAAAAAAAACTAAATTTACGATAAAATAAATTTGAAATGAAAAAAATAAAAAATTTAGTGTAAATCTACACCTCATGCAAACATTTAGGCCTTGTTTGGGTCAAAGGAGGGGAGGGAAGGGGAGAGCCAAGGAGGGAAGGGAATGAAAGGGGAAGGAAGGATTTTGATAAAAATTTGTGTTTGGTTGGAGGAAATAGGAGGAAAAGTTTAATGAAAATATTTTCGCAATTTACTTTTATTTGATAGCTTACTTAAAAAAATAGAGTTTGGTTGAAGTACTCGAACAATAAAAGTACACATGTACCCTTCTTGACTTTCGAAATGGAAAAAAAAATCAAAATTACATGTGTCCAATTCTGCCTTTTATGTATATCACAATTTAATATTGTTAGTATAAAGTATTTTTTCAAAACATTACTATATATCGAAGATTCTTTTGAAGAAATGTTAACATATGTGTTGCAATATAAAAAATACAATTTTTTTACATTCTTTGCACTATAAAATTACATATTTTGTATGATGATAAATAGTTCAAGATTACAAAATAGTGAATTTGATTTTATTCAAGTTATAGAAAAAGAAGAAAATGTTATTGGAAAAAATGTAACAATGTGTTCAAAATTTTGCTACAAGACTAAAATTAAAATTAATGAATTTGAAGTGCTTCATTTACAATGGAAAAATAATTACTTTGCAATTTCAAATAATCAAATTAATGTGTTAATATTTAACATAATAATAAATATGTGTTTTTAAATTTCAATTTTATAATTTGTTTTTGGTGTCTTTTGAAATTTATGTTATTTATTTAAAGTTAATAAGGGTAAATTTGCTCTTTTGTAAGAACACGAGGGGATATTTTTACACTTTTTGAAAGTTCATGGATATATATGCACTTCAACATATACTTTAGGAGTATATTTGTTACAAAAATAGAACAGATGTATATTTGTTCTCACACTCATACTACAATGTATATTTGTACCTTTTCCCACATTAAAAGTGTGAAAGTAAATAACCTCTATTTTTGGGAGTAGTCTTGAACCAGCACTTCTCACATTGATGGTGGTTTCTTCCAAAAATTATTTTGTTGGCACAATATTATGTTCATGTGTACGATGTGTTGCTTTTAATTAATCTTGGAAAGAAATTAATAATGAAGCGAGTTTGAACTCAATTGAGATATATAGTTGGTGAGAATATTTTCAGTGCCACTAATTCTTTTTCCATCCAATAGTCGATACGAGAATGAATAACACCAGACTAGTTTTATTATTATTGATTGATAATATGAGACATTGCTTCTTAATCATTACATCATTTTAGTATATCCTATTTCACATCTTGGTGTACACATTCTTATACACACCACTACACCCCCATGTCTGTAAGATGTTTTTTTGTCTATCAATCCCATTTCACAGACAAAACCGGCTTGTTTTGTCTGTAGAAAATTATACAGACAAAACAAGCTAGTTTTTGTCTGTCGATTAGCATTCACAAAAAAACTCTCACAGACACGGAAGTGTACTGATGTGTATAAGAACGTGTACAAAAGGAATTTTTCTTTCTTTTTTCATAGCCGCCCCCGTTCCTTTTCTTTCTTTTCCAGCCGCCATTCTCTTTGGTCTTTCTTGCTAGTCGTTTTACATTTTGTGTTTTATCTTTTTGATTTTATTTTTTCGTTACTTTTAGTGTTAGTTAATTTACTTTCTTTTCTTTTGTCTTTTTTCTTTTATTCTTTTCGTTTATTTCTTTTCTTGTTTCCTTCTTTCTGTTTCTTTATACATTATTATCGAGCACATTAGAAATGAGCTTTACTTTAAACTCAAATAAGTAAAGCGTCTAAAAAGAATGAACATACACTTGATGGAGTATATGGCCCAGGAACCCCCGGTCTACATACTTCCACTACTACGAATTGGCCCAATAGGCCCAAGTGGCCCAAACACAGCAAACAAGAGCCAGGGGACATACGTCCTTCGGTACATGAAGGCCCCAGAGGACGTACGTCCTTCGGTACATGAAGACCCCATGGGACGTACGTCCTTCGGCACATGAAGGCCCCGAGGCTATGTACGGCCTTTAGCACATGGCGATATCCAGCTACGTACGACCTTTAGCACATGGTGGTATTGAGCTACGTACGGCCTTTAGCACACGGCGGTATCCAGTTACGTACAACCTTTAACATATGGCGGTATCCAGCTACGTACGTTCCAGCACATGAAAGCCCCAGGGGATGTAGGTCCTTCAGCACATTAAAGGCCTCCGGGGTACGTACGGCCTCCGACACTACCCCGACAAGATCTCCTCTCTGCATGCGCTGAATCACCGCATTGAATGCAACGTCACATCCAAACCACCGCATTGAATGCGGCCACATGCTATGCCGGCGCCACCCTGACTGAGTTGACTCTCCACCGCTGGTTGCTTGACACGTGTACCCTCATTCATTGCACCTAGCATTTATGGCTGCTATAAATATCAACCATTCTTTCATTGTAATCGATATAACAACTTCATTGAATAAATACTCATTCTCTCTCTTACTTGTTCTAACTTCTCTCTAGATATCCTCAGCGGTACCCCCGTATATACTATTCGTCATTTGGTATTCTTGTTGAGATGTCGAAAAATCAAGTAAGAACCCCCCCCCTCCGAAAAAACAAAAAACACTCATGGCTTTCTACGTTCGTCCCCATGAGCTTGCCACCTGTGTCCTGCCTGCTTCCAAGGCCGAGGTTCCGTACGTACGTCTTGCAATTGGGCCTTGCTGGCCTGTTGGGGACGTACGTCCCCTGAAGGAGAGGAAAAGCATCTTCAGTTGCCCCCGAGTCCTTGGAGACGTTCGTATTGCCCTTAGCCGACGCCCCTGACATGACGGTGGCTTCCTTGGCATTTTTCCCACCAATGGGTGGCAACGGTCGTCCCCAGGCATTGGATGCCTGGTGTCCCGTGGTGCCTTCCAAATTAGAATGTAACAAAATGAGAATGTAACAAATATTAAATTTGACAAAATAAGAATGTAACTGTGAGTAGGTATTGGTCCACCTCACTTTGTCCCGGCCCATCTCATTTAATAGCTTAGTCTGCTATTAAATGCCTCCTGGTCCGTTTGGGCTGTCCGCCTGACTCAGCCCACTTGCCCTCTTTTGTCTTTGCCCAAGCCTGTGACTCCTGTGGCCCTTCTCTTATATTGTCTGGTTCCTTCTGGAACCGCCTATTTGATCGCCCCTTTCCTTCTCTCTATCCGATGAGCCTCCTGTTCAGTTACCCTAGACCTCGAGTGAGAGAGTGCCGGTTCCATCTGAGGCTTAGCTCCGGCTATGCTCCGGTGAGACCTTATGGTTCCTTTTGGGGTCTTCACTCTAGTCTGGTAGTGTGGTGGGTTTACTCCTCCGGTGGGGCT